GGCCCAACCCGCCCGGCAGATGGCCAATCGGAGTGTTCGGGTCACCGGTGAAGATGTAGACGCTCTGTCTTGCCATTTCAATGTGCGCGGGTTTTACCGCGGGAAGGCGCATCCACTTGTCATCGCCGAGGTCCGTACAGATGTAGTAATCCCAGCGATTCATGCCACGACCCCGCGGCTCCCAGGGGTAGGGTGTGGGCGGCTTCCACTTGTTCTTCGGTAATTTAATCAGAACACGTTTCTCCAGGGGCAGTTTGGCAATCTCCTCGTCATCCAAAAGATCCACTGCCGAAAAAAATTAAATAAGGGCATCTAATCACTTTTTAACGTAAGAAGAAATAAAGGCGTCTTGGGCGCCTCGCAGCCCCCCGTCACTTCCACATGAACTCCGCAATGTAAAGGCACGTAGGTAGAAGATGGTGAGCGATGCGTCGAACGTTCTGGAAACGCGCCCCCAATATTTTCTATATTTATAGGACTGACAGGAAATTACGATAGCTATTATAATGTTTATATTTAACTTAATAATAATAAATAAATAGCAAATACTAGGAATAATTGTAGACTTATTCTTTTTTGCTTGCACTCCAACGGCCGTCTCGAGGACCTTGAGAAGAGAATCATGATGCAGAGATTAATAAAGGCGCCAATTGAGGGCGAGGCTTTCCTGTCCCTGGCGAGTTCCTGTTCGGATCAGAACACCCCTGTCAGCGCGATCATCGAGTGAAATCCTCCTCGTCAATCCCCGTGGGCAACCATTTCCCCCCATAGCATACCATTGTATTAGGTTCTCCTTTTAGCCCATTTTTCTACCTAGGACCTTCAAGAGACTTTTACGCCATTGACTTTTTCTACTTGGGTGCTACCGTTGTGTCGTTTGGTCGTCTTTATTGGCTAATCTGGCAACCAAGTTCGCCTTTCACCGTCGTTGGAGCAATACAGCATTAAGAAAGAATCTGAAGGGGATAAATAAGTGAATAACTGATGCCGAAATCCAACGGTAGTCAGGCTGAAACTTTCGTTTTCAAAGAGTCCTGTCGTAAATCTCATTCGTAGACTGCTCGTGCAGTCTGCAACTCGTCTAGCGGTAAAGGCGATGTAACGTTGTTTATTGTTCTAGTTGTGTGGGCGGCTTCCACTTGTTCTTCGGTAATTTAATCAGAACGCGTTTCTCCAGGGGCAGTTTGTCAATCTCCTCGTCATCCAAAAGATCCACTGTCGACACAATATGGAATTGCATATGAGGGCATCTGATCAGTTTTTAGAGTCGGATATGCGGAGAAGAAGAAATAAAAGCGTCTTAGGTGACCTGCAGCCCCCCTGTTACTTACACAGAAACTTTGTACTTAGAAAGGATCTGACGGGGCAAGCTACATAAATAACTGATGCCAAAATCGAACAATAGTCGGGCTGAAACTTTGGTTTTCAAAGACTTCTGTCGTAAATCTCATTTCTTAGAATGCCTGTGCAGTCTACAACTCGTCTAGCGGTAAAGGCTATGTTACGTTGTCTATTGCTCCAGCTATGTTCATGCAAAAATGTAAGTTTTAACTTAATTTTCTTAAAAATATACACGACTGGAGGTCCACAATACTCTATTGTCGAACCCGAGGATTTTTTAGCTTTTAAATTTCCTTAGAAATTAAGTTCTATGCTCGGTATATATCAATTAAGTTAAGGTCTATAGCCATTGAGCGAAATTTGTTGTATGTTTGAGTGGAACTCCATCAGCCACTGCGCGATAACCGCGTAATGGGCAAATGCTGTCAATATGCTGTGAATTATAAAATTTACAACACTGGTAAAGCAGGTAGTGGCTAAAAGCTCAGACGCGTCTTTTGCCGGTATTCTGCCGCTCATTGACATAACTGTGAAGGTTCCAGCTCATTATAGGAGCCCCCAGCTTCATCTGAGTGTTTTTGTCTCAGCTTGGCAAACGGATACGAGACGCGTCCAGTGCGCCATGAAAGGAGGCCTTTCCGCACCATTCTTAGATTTGATTGGTCGGTCTACGTAAGTTGTAATTGGTAGGACACAAGAAAGAGACTCAAGGTATCAGTGATTGACTGAACTGAGTGATAATATAATGTAACAGACCAAGAGACTGAGTGGATTGTTTTAGTGCACTGAAGACGACACTTTATTGCGATCCCAGGGTGGGAGCTGTGTGATCAAGTGTCAGTGAAGATTCTGTTGGCCGTTTCTCCTCACAACCGTTGAGTACTCCCTCCCCATTCTAAAACACACCATATTCGCAAGCGTATCGTCTCCTCTCGCTCTATGTTGGCATTCCCACGTCCCGCCCCTGCAGTTGCCCACAGCGCTGCACTTCCCACCAGTAGTCGAGAGAACACCCCCCTCGTACTTCAGATGGGACTATTGGATATGTAAAACACTTTTCCTCTTATATATTGTTAACATAAAATGTACGTATATGTTTGTAACCAGTAAATTAATTTCAATTTTTTATCATGAAATTCATACTCGTGTCCTTGGTATGTCGCCTCTCGGTTCTGTTCAGAGCTCCCGTTGACAGAAATGCCTTCAAGTCTCTTACGCACTCTTATGTGTGCCAACCTCAACGTCTTCGGCATCTACAATCATGCAGAGAGTAACAACACCGGACGAACCAACTGCCAACGGAGGCTAATGCTTTACCGCTAAGCTACAAACGCCCGCTCCACGCCATGAG